TCTGACTCCAACTCCTTGCACGTTTCATTGTAATATTTTACTTTGTCATCCTGTGCTGCCTTTTGAAATATTCTGGTCAGCTCTTTAGTATCTTCAATTCTTCCTTGTGTTTTGGCTTCTATGTGTTCCAGTGCAATCTTCAGAGTTTCTTCTGACATGCATTTTGGTCTTCCTCTTCTGTCTTTGTAATGAACGTTTGCACTCTTCTTGGATGATACCCTTGATATCCTCCCACAACTCATCTGGTCTTCCCTCATTCATTTCAAGGCTTCAAAAATGTTCTTGAGATGGTTCTGAAATTCAAGTGGGATAGACTCAAAGTTATATTTTGGTTCTCATTGGTTCGGTTTAATTTTCCATAGCTTTAGCTTGAATTTGCATATGAGTAGTTGGTGGTCTTTTCCACAATCAGCTCCGTTCCTAGTTTTCACAGCTGATATTGAGCTTCTCCAGCAGTTCCTTCTGCAGATGTAATAGATCTGATTCCTATGCATACCATCAGGTGAGAGCCATGTGTATAACCTGTGTTTATGTCTCTTAAAAAATATGTGTTTGCGATGAATAAGTCAATGATTGTGCAAAATTCAATCATTCTATCTCCAGCTCAATTTCTCTCTCAAGGACCTTAGGAAAGGCAAATTCTCCCAGAAAAGACTGACTATAGAGTGAGTAGATGACCTCATAGACTGAACATTTTAACTTGACAACTAATTAGTAACATTATAAAAGTAAAAACTAACAACAACTTTTCCAGACACAATAAAACCTCAGCAATGTCAAGAAAGCAGCAGATTAAAAAAACACTATTGAAAAACAAATTAAGCCTTTTCAAACAAAAAAGCAGAAAATATTAGAGACCTCATGAATACCTCAGAGTCAGTCCAGAAAGCCGAATATTTATGTTGATATGGAGATATTCGAACAGCTACAAATGAAAGAACAAATGATGGAAGAAGCAATGGAAGCCAATAGTAAAGGGAATAACCTAGAGGTAGAGAACAATAAACAAAAATTATTGATGAAGAGTTATTTAAACAGCAATGGAAGAAGATGCAAATGATGGAGGAAACAATAGAGACCACTAAGAAAGCAAATGACCCAGAGACACAGAGCCAGAAGAAATATGTTCATGAGGAGGAACCTGCACACATACAGAAGAATATGCAAAAAATGGAAGAAAGAATTGAAACTATAGATAAAGGGGTACAAAACTTAAAAAAAAATATCACTAGGTAGAGAGGGTACAGCCAACACAGTACTAGAAATAACAGAAAGCATGAAAATGCAATCCAGAATATTAAGACTGAAATGGCAGACATGTCCAACATGCTGGAAGGACAAAAAAGTAGAACAGAAGAGATGTAACAGAGAATCTGTGAGCTGGAAGACAAGAACCTCAACAGAAACATACTGGAGGAAAAATTAGAGATGAAACATAAAGAAGAAAACATTAGTATCAGTTTGGATGACATAAATAAGAATAACGTAAGTATGATTGGAATTCCAGAATATGAGAGAGATAGGGAAATCACTGAGTAAATTGTGAAAGAGGTACTAGGAGAAAAATTCCACGGTATCATTAAGAATGAAGAAATCCACATTCCTCAGCAAACATCAAATAGACTAGACTCTAAGAGGAAAACTTCAAGACATATCACAGTCAAATTCTAAAAAATAAAAGATAAGTGTAGAATGCTGGAAGTAGCATGAGAAAAACAAAAAGTCACCTACAACGATTAAATTCTGATTTTCAGCAGAAATCATGAGAGCAAAAAAACAATGGAATGGAAAACACATAAAAAACAAAGAAAGAAGCAAAATTAATGATTTAACTCAACACCCTCATCAAATAGAAAAAGAAGAACAATCTAACACAATAACATCTAAAAGATGGGAAATTATAAGAGCTAATCCCTCCCCCTTTGAACCCGCCCCAAGAGTCTTTCCCGCCAAAGGCCATTAGCGTTGCGGGGCATTGTGGGAGAGTACTTAAGGCTAGGTTTAGTAAGTGTTCCTTGGGTGCCTAAATGATTAGAGATTCAGTCCTGGGGATACTATCCGTGGAGGCCTGATAGGACCAATAGTCCCTTTTACGAAGGTTCTTTATTTTTCCTAAAGCAGCCAATCGCCCCGTTGGCACCCTGCATTGCAACTTGTGAACGCGGGGAACATTTTCTTCCCTTCATGCGGAGGATCATGTCGCGCTTGCGTAAGCGCCTCTCGTAGCGTCCTTACGCAATTGCGCGTGCATATTGTAAATATCTGTGCGCCAAGGGGATAAAGGCACAGTTTTGGAGAGGCCGCGGGAGACGTGGTGTCCCTGCGAGCGAGCTCTATCGTTAGCTAAGCTTGGTGGGAAGGCCTAATTTCGAGTCCGCGCTTTCAGTCGCCGCCATGTCGGGAGGTGGTGTGATTCGTGGGCCAGCGGGGAACAACGATTGCAGCATCTACGTGGGTAACTTACCCCCAGACATCCGAACCAAGGACATTGAGGACGTGTTCTACAAATACGGCGCTATCCGCGACATAGATCTCAAGAATCGTCGTGGGGGACCGCCCTTTGCCTTCGTTGAGTTCGAGAACCCGCGAGACGCGGAGGACGCGGTGTACGGTCGCGACGGCTATGATTACGATGGATACCTTCTGCGGGTGGAGTTCCCTCGAAGAGGCCATGGGACTGGCCGTGGCAGCGGCTGGGGTGGAGGCGGCGGAGCCCCCAGAGGCCGGTATGGCCCACCGTTCCGGCGTTCTGAAAACAGAGTGGTTGTCTCTGGACTGCCTCCAAGTGGGAGCTGGCAGGATTTAAAGGATCACATGCGTGAAGCAGGTGATGTATGTTATGCTGATGTTTACCGAGATGGCACTGGTGTCGTGGAATTTGTACGGAAAGAAGATATGACCTATGCAGTTCGAAAACTGGATAACACTAAGTTTAGATCTCATGAGGGAGAAACTGCCTACATTCGAGTTAAAGTTGATGGGCCCAGAAGTCCAAGTCATGGAAGATATCGATCTCGAAGCCGTAGTCGTAGCAGAAGCCGTAGCAGAAGCAACAGCAGGAGTCGCAGTTATTCCCCAAGGAGAAGCAGAGGATCTCCACACTGTTCTCCCCGCCATAGCAGATCTCGCTCTCGTACATAAGATGATTGGTGACACTTTTTTGTAGAACCCATGTTGTATACAGTTTTCCTTTATTCAGTACAATCTTCATTTTTTAATTCAAACTGTTTTGTTCAGAATGGGCTAAAGTGTTGCATTGCATTCTTGTGTAATACCCCTTGCTCCTAACATCTACATTCCCCTCATGTCTTTGATAAATTGTATTTTAAGTCATGTCAGGATTGTTTAAATTTAGTTAACTCTCAAAAAAAAATAATAAAAGAGTAAGAGCTGAAATCAATAAAAAGAAAAACAATTAAAACCATCAATAAGACCAGGAGCAGTTTTTTGTTTGGTTTTTTTTCAAGTGTCAATAAAATTGGCAAACCATTTGCAACCTTAACAAAAGAAAAATAAGACACAAATAATCAAGAAATGATAGAGTTAATATCATAATGGAACCAGAAGATATTAAATCTATAACATCAGAATATTATGGAAAGCTATAGCCTGATAAATTTGAAAACAGAGAAAATGGATAAATTCCTTAATATTCATGCTCTATCCAGACTGACAGAGTCAAATATAAAACACTTGAACAGACACATCACAAATGAAATTGAAAATGTCTCAAGAAAAAAGTTCTGGACTCAGCTGAGTTCTACCAAACATTTAGAGAAGATTTATCATCAATTCTACTTATTTTTATTTATTTTTTTTCTATATTTTATTAATTTTCATAAACATTTACAGAGATTTTGGGTTTCCATTCATTCCTTGTTGCACTATTCTCTCTACCCTCCTCCCAGTTTGTTCTTGTCGAAATGCCACAGTGCTTGTCAAAGCCAGTTCTGATTAATCTTCTTTGTCAGTGTGTCCTTTGCCATTCCCTATCACTCCTCCCTGAGAGACTTCACCCTGAATCATAAGGAAAAGGGGATGGCGTATTCTCTTAGCTACTTCCTGCTGAAAAGGGACGCTGTGGGTTTCAGGGTGAAGATCTTCTCTCACTACTCTAAAGGGCCCCTTTGGCAGTAGGAAACACATAGACTATTATGGAGATTGATTTTGGGATTTAGATGCATTCTTATTGATTGTGCTTGGCCGTACATGTTCATATCCTTGAAGATGTATCATGGGGGTGTTACAACCTAGAAGGCACAAATTTGACTAACAAGTTATAAGTACATGAGTCCAAAAATTATGGAAAAGTAAAAGAAAAGATTCTTTCATTGTTTTACAAACCCTCCCCCAGGTCCCCTCCACCATGTAGCCCTCGCTCTAGTCTCCTGTGATGACAGAAATACCTAGTTAAAGGACTATATGATCTTAGTAATTGATGTAGAAAAGGCATTTACAAAATCCAACACCTGTTCCTGATTAAGACACCAAAATTCGAATATAAGGGAATTTCCTCAACATAGTGAAAAGTATACATGCAAAACCAAGAGCCAATATAATTTTCAAAGGAGAAAGGCTAGAAGCGTTTTCCTTGCAAACAGGGAATAGAGAAGGATGCCCACTGTCACCACTGCTATTCAGTATTTTATTGGAAGTAAAAGGCATCCTGATCAGCAAAAAGATGATTAAGCTGTTGCTATGTGTAGATTACATGACAGTGTACACAGAAAACCAAAAAGACTCAACAAAAAAACTGTTAGAACTAGTAGACCAATTTTGTAGGGTTGCAGGATATAAAAGATAAATATCCAAAAATCAGTGGGATTCCTCTACCATAACAAAGAGAACTCAGTGAAGGAAACCAAGAAAGCAATATCATTTACAATTGTTGTAGATGTTTTTATGTGTGGTTGAGTCTCCTTCAACCCATAGTGATCATATGTACAGCAGCTCTAAACCTGGCCCTGTCCTGAGCCAAGTCTCACTAATTCCAACACACTAACCTCCATTGCCCCATTACTGCATCAATCCATCTTATCAGGTGGCCAACCACAAATTGAGATACTTGAGAGTGAACCTAACTAGATACATAAAAGACCTATACAAACAAAACTACAATACAACACCTAAATAAATGGGAAAATGTAGTTTTCATGGATATGAAGAAATAATATTGTGAAAATGGCAATACTACCAAAAGCAATCTACATGTTCAATGCAATCCCTATATAGATACCAAGTTTGTTTTTCAAGGCAGTTGAAAGGAAATTGTTAATTCAGAAAGGAAAGAGACTTGAAATAAGCAAAGCACTTCTGAAAAACAAAAACGAAGTGGGAGACATAGCACTTCCTGACCTCAAAACCTGCTACACAGCAGTAGTAACCCAAACAGCATGGTACAATGATAGGCACATAACCCAATGGAACAGAATTGAGAACCCAGAAATGGACCTATCTATCTACAGTCAACTGATACTCAACAAAGAAAGAAATCCTATCAAGTGGGGAAATGACAATCTCTTCAACAAATGGCACTGGCTAAACTGAACTGCTACCTGCAAAAATCTGAAACTGGATCCACTTCTTACAACATACATAAAAATCAACTTAAAGTGGATCAGAGACCTGGGAATAAAGCCCCAAACCATAAAGTTCACAAGAGGCAAATTGGGATCAAGCTTAGAAGGCCTAGACTATGGCATAAAGATACTGCCAATTACAGCCAGAAATGTACACTCTAAAGAGGATAAAAATGATGAATGGGCCCTTTTAAAGGGCTCATCAAAACCTTTTTTTTCAACAAGGTGAAAAGAAAACCTAACAAACATTTAGCAATACTATCTCAGACGAGATACTATATGGTGCCACTGTTGTAGAATGAGGCTGACATAAGGGTGCGGGTAAGACTGAGAAAAACTGGATAAATTATGTATACTGCATTGAAGCTGATGAGGAAGAGAACAGTTTAAAAGTCATGTATTTTAGGGCATTATGATTATCATAAGAGTCCGGAATGAGGGTTGCATTGTGGAGTGTACTCGGGGTGAGGGTGAGTGCAGGGGGATTGTTTACTATGGAGGAGTTTTTGTTTTGCTTTTCAAGGAGAAGAGTGAACTTGGGGTGTGGGTGGGGTGGGCGGGGAGAAAAGTGCAACAATGAATGAATGGAAATCCACATCGTCTGTAGATGTTAATTGAAATTAATAAAAAAAAAATTCAAGAAAATCACTTAGAAACTATAAGACTAGACTTGAGTCCAGAGTTCATCCAAAGGCACAGCAACCAGGTCAGCTTCAGGAAATGAAAAATGATAAGCTGGGCTGTTGAAAGAATGAGCCAACAATTAATAATTTGAAGTACTACAAAAACAGAGAAAACAAAAGCAATCCTAGGAAATCTAGCAAGAAAAATACTTAGGTAGTAATTCAACTCTTTACCATTTCCTCATCATACTGGGATAGCAAAGAAAGGGCAAAATGTGATTCATGCAAATAGGTAAACTTAGGAATAACTGGAGGTCATATGTATAAGAGGAAGTATTTTATTAATGAATATAACTGAACTAGACTTTATATGGATCAAGGTTACTTCTTGTTTTGATTATTGTTATCAGCCACTTAGAAGTTTTATTAATAAATAAGTAGAGCTATTGGTATTCTGTGTGGCACAGTAAATAAAATGGAAGTAATTTAAACAAGGGAGAGTTATTCTACTCCCATCTCCCAAAGAATCTCATATTCTCTTCCAAAAAGCCAAAGGAGAAAAAATAACAGATTAAAAAAAGATATGCTTATAGTTAAAAAATAATTATAAAAATAATTTTGAAGTAAGAGTATATTGTTGTTGCTGTTATGTGCCATTGAGTCGCTTGCAACTCATAGTGATCCTATGTACAAGAACCTTAAATGACGTTCTATCTTGTGCCAACCTCACTGTCTCAAACACACTTATTCCCACGATTCCACTCACAGAATCGATCGATCTCACCAAGGGTCTTCCTCTTCTGTGCCATCCCTCCACTCTCCCAAGCATGATGTCCCTCTCCAAGGACCAGTCCCTCATTGCAACATGCCCAAAGTAGGTCAGACGAAGCTGCAGAATCCTTAACTCCAAGGAGCATTCTGGCTTAACCCTCTCCAGGACAAACCTGTTTGTTCTCCTAGCAGTCCATGGTATATTCAACACTCTTTTCCAGCATCACAACTCAAAGGCATCAATTCTCTTTCGATCATCCCTATTCATTGTCCAACTCTCTGATGTACAGCACATTATTGCGAAGACTATACCCTGGATCAGGCGCACCTTAGTCTCCAGCCTGACGTCGTTGCTCTTCAGTGCTCTTGAGAGGTCCCTCACAGCTGACTTTCTCAATGCAATTAATCTCCTGATTTCCTGGCTGCTGTTACCAGGAGCGTTGACTGTGGAACCAAGTAAACTAGAGACATATTTATTATAAGCATTGATGCAGAGGTTTTTTTGTTGCCACAGGGTGATAGTTTAACATCATTAAATAATGCCCATTATCTTCATCTTCCACACAGTGTTAGTGAAACTCTATTAATGTTGTTGTTATGTACCATTGAGTCACTTGCAACTTACAGAGACCCTATATACAACAGCCCTAAACTCTGCTCTGTCCTGTGCCAATTGCACCATCTCCGATACACCCATCCCAATTACCCTGGTAACTGAATCAATCCACCTCATGTAGGGCCTTCCTCTCCTGCACTGTCCTTCCACCCTACCAAGCATGATGTCCCTCTCCAAGGAC